TTAAATCCGTATCAAGTCTCATGAGGAATACTGGCCATATTTTGAAACAAACACTAATATTGTAAGACATTTTATAATTCAATCTCTTTTATATGCCAGTCACAGTAGATCTTTCATTTTCAATATAACGTTATTCTCTATTGAGTCATAAGGCAAAATCTTGTCATTGAACACATATGCACGGGTGGGAGTGTTGTAAATGCCATCAATTAATTGACACATTACAACTGAAGTGCCTCTGCTTGCTCCATCCTCAATTTTCCAGAATTTCTCTTCTCAATATCTTTATGTTGGAGATTTACAAGGTAAAGGTATTTGTTAGGTCAGACTTGGCAATTTATGGTCTCTACTTGGGGTCTTTCTTATATCCTAGTACCTGGGCTTGGCTTTTTCAGGAGAAAATGCATCTAATCCCTGAAAGAACAAGGTCTCCCAGTTTCTTTTGCTCAGTGCTCTTGCAGTCACGGTTCTTTCTCTGCAGATGATGCCTCCTGTTGTGCAGACAGAAGGTTCCTCTTTCCCTGTGGAGTGTCTCATAACTGGGGCTCGGATATTGACAAACCTGGGGCAAGGCAGTCGTAGCAAGATGCTACGTCCCTTTCCTCTATGTACCAAAATGCATCATTCTGATATCCCGGAAGGAAAACCAAGATTAGCATCACAACCAGGGAATAGCAGTCCAAACATTTACTGACCCAAGTAATCTTCAGAGATGTTAGCTTTAGTTGTGGTTGCTATTCAGGTGTCGTGGGCAGGGCTGCATTCCAGACACAAGATCAGGAAGCAGAGGACCCTACGCCAGCTGCTTTTTCCTCAAAGAAGCCCTGCCTCCCTTTGTCCTTTTACTAATGGACTTTCTCAAATGATCTTCGAGATGGTTCTCATTCCAGCTGATCTTTAGGAGACACTTGCTGGGGAGGACTCCTTTCAAATCACCTTTCTGCAGACAGTTTTGCAATCTGATTCAAGGCCACATCCTGGGCATCTGGTTTCTGTAGCTCAAAGAATTACTGCTCCTGATAAATTGCTCTGAGTTCCAAGGCTACTGCTGTCATATTGCATTCTCTGACCATTTCCCAGGTCCCCTCATACACACTCAGACTCTCTCTCTCTGACTCTCTCTCTGCCTTCAACCCATTAGACTCCATTCCCATCCACATAAGTTTTATGACAAAATACGCTGGAGAGAGTTAGCTAGCACAGCACCTGAAGCAAATAGCAGAGGCTCAAAAATGTGCATTGAATGAAAAGCTTTGGAGCCCTGAAGTGAGGGATGGAGGTGGGGATCACATCTCCACACCTCTGCAGGTTCTCACAGAGCATGTGCCAATTGCAACATCTGGCCTGGGGGGTGGAAGTGAGGAAACACATTTTAAACTGCTCAACAACTGATTCCTTGGCGGGAGGGAGTGAATAGTGAGTCGCTGAAATTGCACAACCACCTGGTGGGGACTGTGTAGAAAAGAATTAAACCTCAAGTGGGTAGTTGAATTAGTAAGTATTCAGTGCCCCTTCCAACCCTGGGATTTTATAAGATTCCTTGAGGAAGAAAAAAAGGAGAGGCAGAAAAAAAGAGAACAGAGAGGTGAGAAGGGGAGGAAATGAAAGAATAAAATGTAAAAGGAGATAAGAAGCAAGGCCAGAGGCTGGGGACCATTCTGTTCATGAGCCAAACATTCGGACAGAAGCTACAGAGTTCCTGAGAGGGCTGGTATCTCAATGGGCAGTCGGCAGAGTGTCACAGCACCCTGGTCCTCAGCCTCCAGCACCCACCCATTCCTGTCCTATGGGCCAAGCCTTTGGGCCTGTCCTCGTCCAGGGAGCATGAGGTCGAGCAGAGCAGTGATGTGTTCATTAGAAAGCTTGGCCTGGGACAAAGAAGGGGCAGAATTCTCAGCAATTCTGCACAATCCCTTGGGGGCACTCACGATCCTAGGGGGTCTCCAGGAGGGTTCTCAATCCTTAGGACAGGGGGGAACAAGAAGGAGGCCTTCCCTCTACCCCCTCCTCCCATGAGGAGAGGATTGGGTGGGATGGACATTGGTAAGCACTCACCAGCCCAGCCAGGCCTGTGCCCAAATGCAACTGTGTGGGTGGCTTTCTGAACCACAGGAATTGGGCCAGTCCCTGCCCCCTGCTCAAAGGCAGCATTTGCAGATAGAACAAAGCAGCCCTCTTCCTAAAAGATATTTCTGAGCTATGTCCCTGACAGTGGTGTGGGCTGCAGTGGTGGGGCTTGGGCTGTGGTCCTCAGAGGGGAATTTTTCTCAGAGACAGCTTTGCTGGTCTGGGAAGAGAACCTGGGCTCTGGCCCTGCCTCTGCCAGGAGACAAGCTAGGACAGGATGCTGGGTGTCTGGACCTGGGCCTGGTCCCCAGACTGGCTTGGTACAGTTAGGAAGACCTGCTACCCACAGAGAGGGTGAGGGATGACAAGAGATTAGAAGCAGGAAGAAAAGAGAGTAGAAATGGACTCTTCACCTGCCCCCCTCATTTCTATTCCTTTCCTCTTCCACCACTCTTCCTGGCTGCTCCCCATCCCCTGGGGGGATTCAGCTGAAATACAACCGGCCCAACCCCAGCACTGTAGGCTGGACAGGAGCATCCACTTTGGATCTCTCTGTCTCTCCTGTTCCCCACCCAAGAAGCCCCATTTCTAGGACTATTAATTCAGTGTGCTTCCAACCCTGATGGTACATGCGCACCCACCTCAGCCCACACCAACAGTCACACGCGCTGCCAGGTGTCCATGCATCATTCACTGACCGTAATCCCCCAACACACACACACACACACACATACACGCACAAGCACACGCACACGCACACGCACACACACGCATGGCTCCTGGGCTAAAAGCGTCAGCTTGTTCTGTGGAATCACCCTTGCCAATTTCCCCCTTTGCTGCTCTCCATCATTTGCCTGCTCTGTAATTTGGGTTACTTGTGACATCTTTTGTGCACAAGTCTTGCCCCTATGCATCTTCAGAGAACCAAAGATGGTATTGAGACACAGAAACTCGGCAGTCCTCACACGCACAGCCACACCCCATCATAGTGACAGTGCCAACCCAAGGAGGATTGTGCACTCGTACATACTCACACACACACACACACACACACACACACACTCTGGAGCTCCCTGCATTCAGTCTGCAGAGAGCCACCCCTCCCTCTCTGCAAGCCCTCCCCACTCACTTCCAGCCTCCCCCACCCCACCTGGTTTCCCCCCTCCATCCCGGAGCTGGAGGCAACAAGAGCAGGCACCAGGTGTAAACACCTGGTAAAATCACAAGAGAGTCAAACAAAAAATCACACAAAGGATCCCAACGGGAGGATCCAATGGGCTCCTTCCTTCTGCTGTTTCCTCCTGCAACCTCCAGGCTTCCTCCCTCTGTCCCCCGACAAAGAGTCACCAAGGCCAGTTCAAATCGATTGTTTTATTGACTGTTTACATACAGACGCCTTTAGAAAGGGGTGCGCACTCCAGGGGCCTATTCTGACCCGGGCCGCACTTGTGCTGCGCTTCACGGACAGGGCTGGGCCCGATGCCCCAAACCCCCCCCCAACCCTTAGGCTTTTCTGCAAGAAAGAAAAAAGACCAGCGCCCGAGTCGCCGCGCCGCGTCCCCTCTCCCCGCCCTCCCTCCCGCCCGCCTCCCTACACTACCCTTGATACACTTTTACAGGACACAGACTTTTCTCCTACAGAGCACGCTCGTCTAGGACTACAGCCGCGCAAATGTTACTATTCTCGCGGAAGGAGGGGCGGGGCGGGGTGGGGCGCGAGGACCCAGGGGCTTTTCTCCATCCGGATCCCGCCGCACGGTCACGCGCAGGCTTTGTGCGAACCGGGACGCTCGCCCCTCACCAGAGACCCGGTCCAGGAGGCCGCGGTTGGCTTCCGGCGCCCCTGGTGCCTCTCGAGCTGAGGTCTGGGCCGCATGCAGCAGCGAAAGCGGAGCTGTCGAGTCTCCAGAAATTTCCGACTCACCTACAACGAAATTGGCCCGGGACCAAGGCCGCACCCTCCGCGGAAACAGGGCGCGTGGTTTTGCGGCGCTTTAAGTTAGGAGAGAGGGCGAGAGAAGACGGATTCCCCCCATCCCCAGACACACACACACCCAGTTTTCCCAGAGGCTAGCAAGGGAGTGTTAGCACCAGATCCGGAGTGTCACTGTCTTTGAAAACAACGAAAATATGAAAATCGGAGCGCGGAGCTGAAAGGCGCCTCAGGCACCCGGCTCGGCTCCAGCTGGTCAGAAGCGGAGTGGGAGACGGGGGACAGAAGCGTTTGGTTCCCAGTCGTAAGGGGGCTTTGAAACTAAAAACTGGGGAGTTGCCACAGAATCCTGGCTTCTGGGTTGTGCACCCCGGAAACGGCGGAGTAGGGGTTGAGGCGGGACCCTATAGCGCTCCACGCTAAGGACATCTCCTGGGGGACCCGGGCTGACCCCCGAGCCACAGCATGCCCATCAGATGTTTCCAAAGTCTTCTCCCATTTCCTCTGGCTTCCGAGCCCGCCGTGGAGCGGGCTCGGGGCGGATTTCGCAGATAATTGCAGTGGGAACGGAGAGGCTTTGGTTT